CGACATTGTTTAAGTACACCTCAATCCCTGCGTCAAGTGACGATTAGAAACACAAGTGTTTCCAGACATTTCCAGAGAAAGACTGAAACAAAGCAAACAAGTGCCACGCTAGTAGTAACAGGTGCCTTACTAGTAGTAACAAGAAGCTATTAGAAACAAGTGCCTTACTACTAGGAGCAAGAAGCTCCTAGGGGCTCCTGGCCTTAATAAAAGTAACAAGAAGCCATTCCAGAATTTCACTTCTTTGTCACTTCCAGAGAAAATCCTTCCACTTCGTTCGGTCCTTCGGTCCGCTTCAGGCCGGCCCACCGACACGTGGCAAGGCCGACAGGCAAACCGACACGTGTTGAGCCAGTGAAGGATGCAGGGCGTAGGGCGTTGGGGGTTCGTTTTTTGTCTCAGGATCGTGGGTGAAGAAGTTTCAAGCCAACAATGCTTCTAGTTTGGGGAGCTCTCCACATATTCTCTGCGCTTTCTGGAGTGAAGAAGGAGCAACCTCCGAATTTTCATCAGCTACGTGCCACGTATTCTTGAGAGGAGAGATCCGCAGAAGCGTGTCAGCAGTGTAGCTCCACGGAGCATTGGCCCTCCCTACGTTTGAATGAACATATCTTGCAATGCATGCAATCATCTGCAATCTACAAGTGGCAAACCGAGGCGCTTTCTGAATCACTGCCAGTGCAAGTCTCGATGAGTAGACTTCCCACTCGATCAACCGAGTGGTAGAAACCTGTGAAGATTGCTTCTCGAAGCCACAGAAAGTAAGTAGCATTGTTACTGCTATAGGCTATAAGTTGGAAAGAGGTAGAATTGCAGATCAGACTAGCTCTCATGCTTGGCATCACCTCCCGCAGGGGCAGAGCCAGGAACCCAAGGTGTCAGGCCTTCCGCGGTCGGCGTCAGGGGAAATCGGGGGTCGCAGTTGCATATTCCAATCATTTCCAATCTATAGTCTATACATGCGCTTTCCTTTGGGTACGTATAAGGATGGCCATTCATGTTTTCGTCTCTGGGGTTGGTGGACAACAGAACCTGAGCTCAATCGAGAGGAGATGGCAGACTCAGGTGATTCACGTGGATCCCAAGGTGATCATCCCTTTCCCACAGTCGTGGGACTCTTGTGGGACTCGTTGTGCTAGTAGGCGATCAAAGCACTTTGGTGTCGCCTGCTCCTTGGGTCTGAATCCTAATGCCGGCGGTGCGGAAAGGGGAGATTTGGGGATGGCAAGACCGGGGAGATGTTGAGAGGTATTTTACATAGGTACCACTCTGGCCTTTCTTAGCTGCGAAAACTTCCTTTGGTCAATCGGTCCAAGTCTTTGTCGCAGGTGATTGAACTACAGCTTGTGGTGTCCGATGCCCGCAAAGGTCTTTCAACCTCTTTCTTCCACCCTAGTGATGGGCCCCTGAAGATAACACTTCGCCTGTGAAACCGATCTACTGTTGAACTGAACCAGCTTCTTGGAGTGATTGCCACAGCCCAAGCTACAAGCCTGGAGCTCCAGAAACACACCGAAGCCCGGATCAGCATGTACACAGCTCACATTGTCCTTGATGTCCAGGGCTGGTGCTGGTGAACTGCAACAGATTGCTCACACACTGAGCATGTACATACTCCATTGCAATGATAGGTATCTGGTGCCTAGAGCCTGGAGTCACTATGGCTAGAGGAGATTGATATCTGGGCATGCAGAAGGTTTTTGCTGTCAAACATATCAGGATGTAGATCAGCAAAACAATCAGGTTAAAGCTGTCAATTGCTAAGCACAAATAGTATGAAGCCTCCAAGAAGAATCAGTACGTGTCCGTCGCCTCCGCCCAAAACACTCATGTCGATGTGGAAAACACCTGTCCGAGATCTCGTGCGAACCTGGGGATCAGGTTTCACTGCCAGAGGTGCCAACTCAAGTGCCCCCTGAGGCAGGCGCATAGGGATGATCCGGTGTTAAGAGGCCACACATCTTCAAGCTTCTTTTGATGAACACTGCCTTGATGTACAACAAATCCAATTGCATGATTTGATTGGTTGAAAGAACACTGGTCCCAACCAGGCCATAAAAGTTCCACAATCAGGGGCACCAAGGGGGTCCTTTTTCAGGTTGAAGAGTGTATCTCTGAGGGGCAAAACAGCTCCTTCGGATCTTCGGCCCCAGATGACACATGCCGTCCGACGGAACCAGACATCCTCCAGAGGTGTCTCTGCCGTCCGATCGTGGTGCCGGAAGAACTCCATGTGTCCTTTTTTGGACTCATGGATGGTCGACTAGTAGGAGCAAGGACGCTACTAGGGGCTCCTCGCTACTAGGAGCAAGGATGCTACTAGGGGCTCCTGGCCTTACTACTAGGAGCAAGGATGCTACTAGGAACAATAAGGGCACCTGAGTGAAAGGCAGAGCACTGGCCCTACAGCTCCAGGTTGGTCTCGGTCGTCCACCGGAAGTGGGGACGGGACGTTTCGAGTGTTAAAAATGAATCGAGGCCCTCGTTGATTCTTTCTTGGATGCCAAATTCACAGTTGAGAATGATTTCACGAATGAGTCAGAGCTTGACTTTTACATGAACCCTTGCTGCAACGCTCTATGGATGTGTACTTCTTGGATGTGTACTGATCTACTCAACTTTCCAGAAATGGTATCATGCTGTGAGATGCTGTGTGTAGCCCTCCCCAGTCAATGGGCACGGTAGGATGCCAGACCGCAACAGAATTCAAACGCAGATTGGTACTTCTGAGACTCTCAAGTTCAGTGGTACGACAGTGAACATGAATGATGACGCTGCCCTACTGATTCAATGATCCTCTCTTCTACGTCCCACACACCCTGAATCCGAACTCATCAAACCTCTCAAAACCAAACCATAGTGCTAAATGATCCAAACATATCAAAAGAGCACCACCTCTGGGCGTGACTCTGTGAATCCTCCCCTAAGATGAACACAAATCTCTTTTTAGGATCAATTTCCACCCAACGACATGCAGCATGCCTCATGATGTTGTACTCAATTTTGGCTATTGACCCGCTTGGGACCCCTGTCCGATGTTCGTTCTGGCCGCGGTCACGGATAGATGTACGGACTTCTGTTTGGTCCTCCACTAGGATTCCTTTCATCGGGTTCGCGAAATGAGATTCCCACCTTTCCAAAACCTTTCTGCTATTAGAGCACTTTCTGCCTGAAACCTTTCCAACCTTTCCTGATCTTTCCTGAAGGATTAGAACTGTTCTCCCAAAATATGAGCCTGAAATCCGCCAGGTGGGAGCCCGTGACTGCAGAAGGGCGACAGGCACGTCCTCGTTCTGTCGAACGAGGAGACACTCCAGCTTTGATGAAGCTAACAAGGAAGTGTGAAGACACTTTGGAGTGGTTCAGTCCCAGTCTTTTTTTCTCCTAGCAAGTGGTTTGTGGCTTCACGATCTCTATTTGGAGGCGTGGTCCTCTCCTTGAAAAGCTTCAACATTGGCTGCCCTCCACAAAAACAAACAGCGAGGACCAGTGGATCGGAACAGATATCAGAAACGGTTGAGATTCTTGCTATGTTTTTTTGAAAGCATCGCTCCATGTATGAGAGCCCGAGACTGAACTTTTTGGGGGAGTAGTATATTCCTCACCATAAGTTTGATTGATGTTGCCGCCTGATGCGGTGTCTGTCCCCAATGTCCATGCGGAGTGTATCCTCAACGCCAGGCTTCTTCCCTGCCCCCACCACCAATGAGCGTGAGCATGCCCACTGCGCCAGTGAGCGCTGGGTGCCCCAGTTTGAAATCTGTGAGTAGCAAGCTTGACACGTGCATCACGCAGCTAAATGTCATAGGAGAAAACATACACTTTGCACCGGAAAGCCCATGTCCGTGCTGGAAACAATATGTGGCAGCAAATCGATGACTCTCATTATCAATACCCTGTGACTGCAACTCAAAGATGCAACATTGCGGCAACAACATATAGAGAAAGAACATGGAACAGCTGATGGATGGAGACTTGCTCATCTTGCATTGATCATCCGCTGATGTTCCAGGCTCCAACATCTCGCAGAGGACGCAGCAGGCGCTTCGGTCTACCACTTTCAATTTTATAGTAAGAAGAATTCATGACTACGTATCTCCTGGCCAAGAAACAATCCAACACGCCTTCAATGCCAAGGGTCCAAGTTGTAAGCGGCTTTCAGCTTGTGTGGGTTGTTGCCAGACCATTGCTGCACAGGCCTTGCAGCCCGATGCGCAGTGAATACCAGTGGCTGGAGGTGGGATGCGAGGACGCTCCGTTGAAGAGGGGTTGCATAGTGGATCGAAGAAATTCGACAAACCACCCAGAAGCTATGAGCACCGTATTTGAATACCTATGAATACCCTGGTTGTCGCTGTGTGGTGTAGGATTTCTTCGTTTAAGAAGTCACTTCCAAACAAGGAGGGTCGATTCGTGGTGCCGCGAAGCAGTTTCGTTTCGGGGATCATGCGCAAGATTGCGAGGAAGGTCCCGAAAGCAAGACTTGGCATCTTGGTAGTAGCCCCTAGTAGCGTCCTTGCTCCTAGTAGTAAGGCCAGGAGCCCCTAGTAGAAGAACTCATGGGCCCGGGACCGAAAGCAAAGGAGAATCCGCTTTGTGACTCAGTGTCTTGACATGTAGGCTCAGCCTGGGGACCCAAATCTACTGTTCAATAACCATGCTTCAGTGTTTCACCATTTCCCTTTGCCAGTTTGCCTGAAATCGTACAACACGAGAGTCCATCCCTCCACAAAAATCGGTGAAGGGCTGACTAGTGTCCTTCATGGTGAAAGCTACTTGGAATGCTGGGATCATGGGTCTCGCAAAACACCGGTGCACGTTGCTGTCCTACCGGTGCATCGTGGGTCTCATGGTTCAAAGTCACAGATTTCTCTATCCAAAAGGTCGTGGGTCTCATCGAGAGAAGAGACCAAAAGAGGATATAACAAGAAGCTACTAGGGGCTCCTGGCCTTACTACTAGGAGCAAGGACGCTACTAGGGGCTCCTGGCATCGCTACTAGGAGCAAGGACGCTATGAGATTCTAGCTCTGCTTGAGCAGATCCCGTGTCAAAAATTGAGCATTCGCAAAGGAGAACCTCCCCATGACTTGTGAGTCGACCTGTCCTCAACAAGGCACCTTCAGACCTTACTGGTACAGCTTCAGTAGTTCTGTAGTCCGTAATCATTCTTGAGAGCATCAACTGGACCTTTGTCCACTGAAATCGGGTCTTTCCACCAGCCGCAGCCTTCCTTGATTTCTTGTGGCGTCGTTCCCGGCTCGACGGGAAGCTTGGATGGGCCGATCCGTTCGGGGCGACTGGGCAGCAGGTGATCGGAGGTCGAGAGGCTTTGGTCACTGTTCTCGTGTTTTCGGGCAACCATGGAGCTGTCCTGGCGTAGGGAACATGGGGACATCAGGCCCAAAACAAGACACTGAATGTCACTGAAATGTCAGTGCGAGGAGTCAGTCGAGCGGTTTCTCTGGGAATTCATCATCCGTCCCTCAAAAAACGACCGTTGCTGGCATTCCTCAGTAACTCGCCAACTGCCAGGGTACCTACCTCTTAATAACGAAAGTCATTGTCTAATGACAAAATCAATATTTCATTAAATGCGAAACATAATATTGTAATTGCGAAAATGACACGCTGATGCCGCCGTGCAGAGTCAACATTGGCTCAACATGGCAGAGTGGGGTCTCTGCCAACATGGCAGACCCCTTTCTGCCCAAGAACCGGTCCACATGGCTTGCACCATGGTCAATCAAGATCATAGATAAAAGAACCTCCCAAGACATTTCCTGCTTTGAACCAAGAGCCTGCTTTGCACCAAGATAGATCATCTAATGTCTGCGGCTGCAGGAACTGCATACCGACTCCCCACCAACCCGAGCCTCCGCTGAGTTGAACTGGACCTTGTGCTTGAACTCGCCGTGTGTGCAGCTTTGGGCGATGAAATCCACGACACTTTTGCGAGGGATGCATCGTCCACTGCCCAACAACTGCTTCCACCACAAAGGCCTCTGAAGAGCCATTGCTTTGTGCTTCTGGCAGCCGCTTTTCGGCTTTGTACTGCAACTGCGCAGCTTTTGGTCGATCTTCTCAGCCACCGCCATCTTGTCGAGGAACGCTTGTCCCTGTCGCCCAGTTGGAAAGGTCATAGTCTCTGAGGAGACATGGGAAGTAAAGACTGGATCGTTCTTAAGGTCTCAATGAGAATCATTAACTGGCAAACTCTCGGCCATTGAAACAGATTAAAGCAGCAGGTTTCTTTGCTGCAGAGCTTCCAGGGTATGAAGCGAACACTGCCTAGGACCTTTTTGCACATCCTTTTGTTCGGTCCATTCCCAACGTCTGCTTGAGCTAAAGGTGTTTGTTGAAGAGCTCTGCCACGGACCTTACTAAATGCGAAATTATTAGCGATGGCCTCCAACCTAAGTCCGGCCTATGATGAGAGCTTTGTTGGGAGAAGTCCAACTTCCCGAAGGTCGCTCTCCCCAGTTCCCGGAATCGATGCCCGGGCTTGATCCAAGGCCGCGCCAATGGCTGAAGGCGGGATGGCTTGGTGCAACGACGTGACCAGGTCGATGGGTGTAGAATCTAAACGGTTACCCTCCTCTCAAATCCCGGTCTTTCTTTATCAATCTTCCCTGAAAACGAACTCTGGAATTTTGTTTCTTCATCGCATCAATGTCCTCCCTCTCGCTCGTCCTCCCCATTCTTCACCAGAGCGTTGGGACCAGGCGCTGAAGAGGAGGCGCGGTGGACGAGGGATGCCATGGGAGACCCACTTGAGCGCCTGCTGGCCAGGTGCCCAACCCGATCGCAGGTGGTCTCGAAGTGGTTCCACCGCCACCCTGTGAGGACCATCGGAAAAGGGAAACGAAAGCTGGACGGCTTGGATTCTTTGTCGGAGTCCTTATAATGGCATGTTGTTTCTTATTCCATTTCCTCCCCTTATATAATTTCTTGGGATGGTGATCAAACATTCTGTGATGATTTCCTAACACCCACGCGTTGAAGTGTTGTGTTTTCAGATACTCGATTGGATCTTCTCAGGCAAGTTGAAAGAAGCCGAGGTGTTCGTGTTAAAACCTTTTTGCAACTGCTGGAGTACTGAAGGCCTTGCCTTAGTTAAGCTTGGGACGACCAGTTTGGGGTCTGGAATGTCCCTTCGAGACGGGGCCCCTTAATCGACGTGACCAGTGTTCGAGCAAGATTTTTCTCCTAGGACCCCAGCTTCGAGGGCGAGAAGGAGCTCTTCGAGGCGAAAAAGAGAAGAATCTTGGCCAGCTGAGGGCTGTACTTGATCGAAGTGAGAAGAAACTGGTTGCCCAAGTTCCCAAAAATTGCACTCTGTCTGCCGTAAGACAGTCTTTATAGTCATCACAATCAATCGAGGGAATTCTTTCTTTGAGGTTCCGAAAGACTCCGATGTTCAGATACAGGTTGACTTCAATTACCGATTGCTAGCTCTGGTGACCCAAAATCTGTGACAGTGACAGGATGAGAGGAAGCGCTGGCTCATCCTGCATGTGGCCTTGCCACGCACGGGAGCCTGTTGAAAGTGAGAGGAGAATGGCAAGCTCTAGGGCTTAAGGACTTTCTTGCTTCTTCCACCTATCGGGTGGCAAAAGAGGGGATCCACTACAAGGCTTTTCGTACATAAAGAATAGCTCTAGAAGCGGAATTGCTCGTTGACAGATAGCTTCCAGCCATGCGTATATAATTAGGAAATGGATTCCAAGACTTTTACCACCACGACCCCATTCTTGGGTACCCTGTGAAGTTGTTTATTCCAGATTCCAGCAACTTGCTGCCCGTTTCAATCTGCGTGTTGAACTTGGGTGGGCTGCAAAACATGAATGAGAATCTAAGGTGATCTTCACCACATACCTCACATGTTTTGAGACTTCCAGGGTGGGTCCCCTTCCTCAGGTACATCGGCTCATATTCTTTTCTCACCACACCTTGAGGCACGATCATGACCTATGATCTTGCGCAACGCCGCAATACTGAGGCGGGACGTCAGAATCTCCAGGATCCATTTCCGCTCAACAAAGACCCACTGGTTTTATCTGAAGTCTCTCCTGTCAATGGTTGGTGGTAAGTCGGCCCTGTGCTGGTTTGAGGTAGCTTGGAGTTCCCTGCCAAAGGGTTGTACGTGGAAGAGGAGTCAGTCAGAGGTTGATGCACTTCCATGCATTTTGATTGGTGGATGTGAACCTGCCACAGATCCACCATAATTGATCCTCCAAGCAGAGGTCGGCAAACTGTCTTACAGTGAATGTCTTGTGTACGTGTACTACCTTGTACTCCAAGAACCCCAGCATTCTGATTCTGATGCGAGGCAGGAGTTGCGTTTGGCAGCAAGTTGAGCTGCTAGAAGTTTGGGCCGGCTAGATTTGCCATATCATTGCCAATGGAGAATCACTTACTTCTTACTTCCCCTTGCCTGTTTGTCTTGTCAAGCCTTGTCACTTACACTTCCACCGAAATCCAGACATTTGCTTTTGTACCTTAAACATTTGTTAATTTCCCTAGCTCAAAAGCCGGCCATGTTTAAAAGGGAACGGACGCAAAACCAAGGGCTTCACGGAGCCGCAGCTTTCGCTACTTCGAAACCACTTGACGAAACATCTCGCCGATTTGGTTGCTTCCTCGAAAGGCAGAGCTGAATGATGCCTGGCCTTCAGAGCAGATGTGGAGGGTGCTGACAGTCTACAGTTTGTTTTGGATATGTTCCCTCCCCTGACACAGGGAAACTGTTCAATACAGAGGGGCCACATCCTGTCAATTTGGCCAAAGATCAGACATGGTATATAGTAACTTAGTAACTGTAGTACCCTTCTCGGACTGCAGATATTTGGGCATTCAAGTTCTGATCAGTCATGCTGGACTCTTCACGGCCAAGGGCATCGCTCAAATGCCTCGCCCAGGCTCTGTCCAATCTAGCTTGGGGTTCCATCGACACAGAAGCTGGAGAGTGGGCGGAAGTCCCAGAGAAGTGGGAAGAGCTTGATCATGCACCACTTGTGATGCCGAACTGAACTGACGGATCTGTGCCTGATAGACATGCAGATGACAGCACCAGGCCCCTAGACGGAAGGTTCAGATTCGGTTCAGACAGCTGGTCAGTCCTTGCACTGCCCTTGGCGCAATGGAGCACGGTAGGCTCCGCAACATAGGAGCCTTTCTCTAGGACCAAATCTTTCATTCTGCACCTCTTCGCCAGACTGAGTTTTTCCAGTGTGTTGACAAACCTTGAAGTAAGTCTCAGCACCGACTCGTACATCAATGTGCACTCTTCCTTCATTTCACCCGAACTGCAAACCATCCGGATTTTGACGGGTTGCGCGATGGCCGAGACCTTGGAGTCGCCGGACCCCTCGCTGGAGCCGCCGCATTCCTCGCTCATCACGTGCGCACGTGGGTGAAAGACCCGGGTGTCACGGCATGTCACAGCATGTCTCGGTGGATTTCGACGATGTTCCTTGGATGGTGGTGTTTTTGGTGAAGAATCAGGGGTCCAGTTGTCTCTAGAGTTTTGGCCAAACGATTGGGCATGCGAGCCTACCCAATCCTGAATGATTTCAGTGCGACAACGCTCTTGTTAAAATCTCAAAGACCTGCCCTCAGCATCAAGTGTCCGCGTTTGTCCAAAGTGTCATTGCTACCTGAGTAGTCTTGACCATCAATCCATTACAGTAGCTGCCATTTGGCAGGTATGCTGACTACGTGGCAAGGACCTATCCGGCAGATCGGACTATGGAGGAGCAGGTGCCCAATCAAAAAGTGCTTCTGGAGCTCAAGTTGCCCAAGCCCCACCGATCGCCACCAATCGCGGGCTTGTTCGGCCAGGCTCGGGAGGAGAACCTCCGCCTGGCGGCGGAGAAACGGGAGCGCTTCACCATGCCTGGAGAGCCGGGCTCGAAGTCGGGGCGCTCGGGAAGTCCCAGAGATTTAGGAATTCAACAGGACATCCGAAATGAAAAGGACATGTATGGATGAATTACAAGTTGTCTTAAAGAGTTCACCATTTTTTCATTATTTTGTATCAATCGTAAAGCTATGGATTACTCGCCCATCCTTAATATCTGCAACTTAGTTTACTTGGCTTTCATATCATATATGCGGTTTATGTTAATCTATTTTCTCCCTGACTAACACGTGATTGTCGGTTCTTATTAATTCTTATTTGTTATCTTGGTTTTAACGTGTTCCTTTTTACAAGAATATCTTTCCTATAGGATGAAACAACTCGAATGATCATGTGGATAAGCATCCATGAAGATACGAATCATCATTCTTAAAGGAAATCATATATGGAATAACTCATGATTGGTCCTTTCAAAAGTTGTGGAGAAGCCTTCCCTTCACTCACGCGGCAAGTGTGCAGGTGACCAGTAGTTGATCCAGTGGCTGTGTAAGAGGCCGACACCATGCCCACATGCCCTGAGGTTCCGGTCGATGTTTGACCAAATGATTAAGAACCTGCAGCACTCCAACAAGGCTTGGGCATGGAAAAGAATCCAGTTCCATCATTCCTTTCTACTTTGCTTAGTTGATTGGAAGATATATGTGGTCTCGCGCTTGTGTAACCATAGAATAGCCGCTGAATAGCTAACAGGTAGCAAATTCTTGATCAGCACCCCAAATTTATGCAACAAAAACAACTTCAATCGATCATTTGTAACCCATGACTCATTGAATATGACCCATGACTCATCTGCCAAGCTGCCACTATTGCTGGCCATTTCGCATAAGCTAGAAGCAGCCACGGCCGCTCCATTTGTTTTTGTTTGAGGTCTTGTTCCAGACAAAATAAACTTGGTGGTGATTAGCTGGATCCCTGGTGGTCCTTCTATTTGTTGTTGGCAGAGTTCAATTGGTTGAACAACTGCATCAGTTAATGTGTTTCACGTTCTCGGAAGAAAGATAGATCCTATGAAGTCATGCAAAAGATAGACCCTATGAAGGCACGATATCAATTGCTTGGTGTATGGGGTGCGCCACCTGTGTCACGCAAAGCCATAGGCACTAGCGAAAGCTTTCGACATCAAGAAGGCTCAAAACTGGGCCCAAACTGGGGCAGGCTCAGTTGAAGTGACTCACAGAAGAATGTGGTGCTTCCAACAGGACGAGGATGCACATTTTCCACCAGATACGTACATATGATGTTGGGCTTGACTGAGGGTTTCATGATCAGCGTCTTACATTGACAGGGGTTAACAGTCAAAGTACTGCTTGTACTAGAGCCTGCACTCCTGTTCATTGGCTTACTCCTTGACCACCCATCTAATCTAAAATCAGCTGACTGGAGCAACATCTGCAGCTGTCGGTCGCTGACTGGAGCGGTTGGCAGGGGCCGGAAGAGCAGCGACCATGAGCCCCGGATGTGAGGTGTTTTTGAAGGAGGAAGAACTGCCGGAGGATGCAGCCAAGTCGGAGGTGGGAGAGACTCATGGGAGGTGTTCTTGGGGTTCAACATTTGAAGAACTGGCCCTTTGCTGGCAGTTAGGCAGGTCTTGCTGCCTAACTGATTTTCTTTGAACCACCAGGCGCAGAACATCATGCGCTTTGGCCGGCATCAGATTCTGCCCTCCTTCTGGAATTTGTTGGTCGGAGCACCCAGGAGGCTTTGAGAAATCAGGCTTTGGGTGGTTGGGGTGGCTCTTAGAGGTTGGCAAAAAGAAAAGGGAACGTTCAGGAGGACCCACAACAGTGAGGTCATGCACTTGGTCCTTGGCACGTGACATTCCGCAAAAACGAGAGTTGACCAGGATTTCCAGCACTGTGGCTCTAGCACCCACCTGTGGGTGAATGTTCTGGAGCTCTCCAAGTTTTGATCTTTGATGCTTGACCAGTCGACACGCCAAAAATTTCCCGCCGAATAATGCCTCCTTCTCCAGCGACATTGTTAGTATCTGAATCAATTGTTTTCTCAGGAAGCTTTTGCAGCAGCCTGTCAGATGTTCCTCACCATTTAAGATTTCCCCCATAGTCGGAGATGCAGATCTTTTTTCAATCTGTCTCATTCCTTCTTTCTTTGTGTTGCATGAATGTGCCATGGCTGCTTCATTTAGGTGCAACATCTGCTTGGAGGGCATCAGTGTATCCCCAATTGCCAGCTCCAATGAAAACAGCTTTGGACATCCTTGCCCCAACCCCGCTGCACAACGTCGTGAGCCCACCAGAAACGCTGAGATCCAGCTCACCAAGCAGCAGCGCCGCTTCTCGGTGGTCCTCCGCTCCTTCAATGAGGAGCAGCTGATACAGGTGGGGTCGGTCCACGGTCGTTTCCGCTTCAAGCGCCGTGGTTTCAGAGGTCCGAAGAGGACAAAGACTGAACTCCTGGAATAGCGCTGTTGGAACCGTCAAGGCTGAGATGAAGCAACGAGTTTTCTAAGTTAGCCCCATCGTCCCCTCTCAAATTCTTGAGTATTTGATGTTTCCTCGTAGTACCTGTAACGATGTCAAGGTCTTTGCTCCACTTCGTAAAGGTCCAAGGTCCTGGTCAACCATTTGCCAATTGCCGCTATCAGGCACAGAAGGAGCTTCAGCCGGGCCCCACAGATTTGTGTGGCTTCAGGAAAGCTGACGTCATGTAGGATTTCATTGGCTTGCCATTGTCGGGCTGAAAACTTACCTTCCTTTGCCTTTGGACATGTAAGTACTGTATGATATCTGTAGTTTTGCTTCTTCTCTTCTCTCGATGCAGTTCCACAGGACAGCACGGAGTAGTTTCCCCGGTGCACCCAACGAAAAGCAAAGATTCTGTTCACATCTTAAACATTCTAACAATGGCCTCCAACCTACTAGCGATGACCTCCGGCCTGGTAGCGATGGCCTCCAGCCTGCTAGCGAATGTATAGAGCACGCGGGTCGAGCCCAAGTATCTGTCATGTTTCCCTCCAAGGCTCTTTGTACAGTGTCAACACCCTGCCTACAACGGGCAGAACAAGACCCACAAGCCACTCAGATGAGAGGTGCATGGGAGGGCCAAAAGAGCATTTCAGTGCAAATGGAGCAAGGGAGAACCGGAGAGAGCCCTAAAACGACAGAGACTCATGATTCGCACATGAAGTCTTTTGGCCGCAAAAAGGCATCGCATTTTCATTCCAAAGCCTCAGCGGTTCTCCCACGACTGGCACAGAGGCTGCACCATCTTTAGCAGTATAGGACAGGTCAAGGATGCCGTTGAAAGGGCAATCTTTCAAGTCTTAGGGCTCATTGTGACTACACTTCGACTCACTAACATGGAAGTGGAAACCACCCTGTCCGTAGAGGAAAATAGTCTTCCCAGGGCTCAGGGGTCCTTTTCCACTTCCATGTTAGCGAGGCGGAGGGTATTTGGAGTCTTCTGTTGTCGTGCTATTACAACCAAGGCCTCCACTGATGGATGGCAACAAGGCCGGAAACGTGTAAGCGAGCCCTGGCGGAGGAAATCTTGACTCCTAGAGTCTAAGCTCCCGAAACAACAGGTGCTGAATTTGTGCTCGAAGATCTGTGATAGCTACAGCATGCTACAGCTAGGTCCCAGTTTCAAGGCAGAGAGAATTAAGTTTCATTAGTACGAGCGCTTCTTCCAGGAAGCTCCGCCCCGCCCTCTTGCGGGGGGAGCTTTCTTGAAGAAGCTTGAGCTGTCCTACCTAGAAGCGTCCTGTACCCCTGTACCTAATAAAGCTACTAACTAGCTACCGCTTCCTACCCCGCACTGGTCTAAAAAAGGCCTTGACCTAACAGATAGATCAAATAGGTACCAATCCTTTGAGCCTTCAATTCCGTCTTACACCAGGGATCCAGAGATCTGCGCTTAACGGCCAGTGCCATTGGTCGCTGGAGCCCAAGCCCGCGCCTCCGAACAACGGTCCGATGGCACCGATTTACGGGATGACTCTGGCACACGCGGTCATTTCAAAAGGCCTTTTAGGTTTCGGATTTATTGATGTTCTGGCTGGTAGATTCAGTGGACTTTTGGCCAATTCAAACATGATGATTGACAAATGCTCCTGGCTCCTGTCTGACAATCCTTTTTGTACAGGACTTCCAAACTCCTCGCCGGATGTGTGGCAAAATTCCCCAAGAAGGATCTTGTCGCAACAATCTGAAGACAACTTGGATGCAGGTCTAGCTTCAAAGCTACTAGGGGCTCCTGGCCTTACTACTAGGAGCAAGGACGCTACTAGGGGCTCCTGGCATCGCTACTAGGAGCAAGGACGCTACTAGGGGCTCCTGGCATCGCTACTAGGAGCAAGGACGCTACTAGGGGCTCCTGGCCGTACTACTAGGAGCAAGGACGCTACATCGGGTCACCCTTTGTGACCTTATGGACATGTTTCTTCCCTTCTGAAGATGAACCGACTTGCTCCACTTGCCACCTTCCCGATCTCGGTTGATGTAACGCACGCGTGCCGAGCGCCAAAACGCTGCTGAGGAATGGACCGCATGAGTGGCGCCTTGCGCTTCCGTGACCGCCCGCAAGAGCAGCTGGGGTGGCCCGGATGGACTTCCCCCCTGTGAACTCGGGACATTTTGGGCAGGAGCTTTTGGAGGAGCATGAAAAACATATTGTAAGGCCAGGAGCCCCTAGTAGCGTCCTTGCTCCTAGTAGTATACTTTCGTTCCTTGGAGGTCTTTTCCTGATTTGGTTCATTCTTTGTCATTTGGTTTTCGAAGCTGCCCACTTACAAAAGACACAGGTGGAGAAAATGGCGGACCACAAGGAGCCGAATACAAGAAGAATCGGAGTGCAGCCATTCGGGGAAGCCCTCTTTTGGCACACCCCTTATCTCTTGACATTGCGACTTCCTCCCAGGGCCAGCACGGAAGCTTCCGAGGAGGCTGGTGGTGTATTAAAGCAGGCTCAAATCAGCATGTGGTTCAGACCGTGACCAGTCAACAACAACCTTTGTGCATCAAAAGAATAGCTCTGAAAGTTGTTTTTGCAAGGCCGCTGAAAACCCCGCCGACTCGGTGTTCAGGCTGAAACCGGCTGAAACCGCGGTGGGGGCGGCTTTGGTGGACTGTTTGATATCCATCATGGAACCTGTAGCGGACTCGAGTACTGTGATGCAAAAAGGAGGACAGGACTCCATATTCATCGGAGGGATGGGAGTTAAGTGAGAAACTTGCCAAGTGAGTTGAGGGAATTGCATCTAGATAGACTGCCGATAGGGACTGATGCACTGATTAAGGTGCTTAGGCAAGTTCATATATATATATATATACACATACATTCAAACACGTTTTATACATGTATGTATTCATATATACAGTATACACTAGTATGTAATGTCCAGTATTTATCTACTATTTATCTCTCTCTCTCTCTACCTATCTCTCTCTATATATATTATGTACACACCAAGCAATTTAGTTCACACCCAAAGCCCAGGAAAGGAACACTAATCGAACATTTTGCCAGAGGTTTTCTCTCAAGCTAGCCCACTTAGTTTGGTATAGTTGACATGATTTGGCTCTGACACCAGGGAAAGAAGAGTTCATTTGACAGAAGAAGTTGCAACTTTGGGAGCGCCAACGCTGAAGACTGCACTGAGAAGTCGAGACTTCAAAGCACGCTCTGAGCCTTTGCAAGAAGCTCAAAAGGCAGAAGAGATAGCTGAGGACATCACAGTCAAGGCGTGCTCCGTTCGTTGTGCTATTCAAGGCTGGCAACGTGCCAGATACTGCAAAATGGACGGAGTTGATGAAGATGGCGTTGGAGAAGGCATGTTGTCAGTCATCATTGACGACTTGTTGGCCGCTGGAGAAAGACTTGCTAATCAAACCGGTTCTGAACTGGTTCTGGAGTGTGGCTACATGGTCGAGATGCATGCCAGTCACATACGGTGGAAAGCCTCGTTTGACAGTTGTCGGGGAGGTTCGTATCAATGTCCAAAGCGACCTGAGAGGGCTCAGGTTTGATACTAAGGTACATCAGAGGCTTTTTGCAAAGATCAGACCTTAAGCAAGAACTAGAAAGATGCTGGACAGCAGCGCAAAAGAGATGATGACTACGCCCAACTTTGCTGGTTGATTCGACGCCAGCACTACACAAGTGAAAGCAACAAACAATAGGTAGCGTCGAAATCAACGGTGTGACACACTTAGCAGATAGGCTCATGAAATTAAATCCAACGATGCATTGGTACAAGAGCAGCAGATTCAAGTTTGCGCCCTGAGTTCCATGTTTGAATCAAAACTACCAAATCACTCTTGGCCGTTTTTCTCTGCCAGGCCGACGGAATATGCGTTCCCTCCGTACCATGAAGCTTATTCTGGGCTGATGTGATGCCGGCCTGTTTGAGATAGGGTGTTTTCTTCTTTTCCACCGATGAAGCACCAACCACTTTGTTCAAGACTTTTGAAACATCAATGCGAGGGTAGCTTGGAAAGAAGTGTTGGATGCCTTGATGTCGTGCAATGGATCAAAAAGAACTGATTTCACCGTCTGTGTATAGTGCTCAGCTCTGCATTTTCACGGACAGAATGGGGTAAAGTGTAAAGCCCTGGTATCACGGGCCTTTCAGATATTTGCACCACATTGGACAGCACAATCCAAAGGGGAAGCATGCACTCGCCTGGGCCAGAAGTCTCACCGTGCGTAGCCCAGGCACCAGGTCCTCGAGACGGCCAACACGGCTGCCATTGTAGATGACTTGGCGTGCTTTGGAATGGAGGGCTGAAAATGGGTGGTATGTCCAAGAGGATGCAATGAGATGACTGTTGGTTGGGGAAAGTGGAGAAGCCCGTTGGATCACTTGGGAGCTGTGCTCAGTTTTGCCAAGTCCAAACTGGGGTAGTTCAACAAGCGGAATTGACGGGTGTGGTGGCGACCGATTGTGAGGGGAGGTTCCTCGCCCGCGACGCATTCTTGCTACTAGTAGCGATGCCCTTGTTACTACTCCGAGTCAAAGAATGATGCCCAGATGTCCGTGTTTTCTTTTTTTTTTTCATCCATTCAACATTGCACTAACTAACCAACCAACGAATGAACTACTGTATCTAACATTATCTAACTATCCAACCAACCGACCAGCTAGCTATATAAGTAAGTAACTAACGCAGGTTGAGGGGTGGCCCAGGACGGAGGACGGAGGAAGCTTTTGGAACACTTCTTGCACACGTCACGTTGACATCCTAAAAGATTCAAGACTTAGCAAGCTCTAAGACGCTACCACTAAACAAGGCCATCATGGCATCACCCTCAGACTGGTGCGACTCATAATGAAAGAGTGTTAGTACCAGGATGCATCGTTTGTCCCTTTACCCCCCACCAGTCAACTCAGGATTATTTGGGCTTGGTTTGCAGTGTCATTAAAATGCAGAGAATTGATTATTGTTGCAGCCAGACTATTTAGAGCCCCCCTCGCACATTTGCATGGCACCATTGGAACACTTGTTTCTTGGTTATTGGGAATATTGGCTTTGAAGGACGCTACTAGGGGCTCCTCTCAAAACGCATGGCCCCTTAGGGGCGCTGCGACTCTTTGTCTTTTGCCGTTCCCAGAGTTCAACATCGTGCCTCACCGTCTGACAGCTTTGTCTCTCATGGGGAGGTTCCATGATGCCTGGCACCTTCTGTGCAGCTGCACACTGAGGTTCTGGGATGCGCATGAGAGAGACTTTACTGCGGGCAAGATGCTTCTGATTGACCGAGCTGAGACAAAGGTGGCCCGGCAGTGCAGCGCGACACGGACAGACACGACGCCCGACGGGCGGGTTCCACGAAGCGCCGTTCCTCTTTGAGTCGGTTAGGAAACACATGTTCATCGACAGCGCCGGCAGCGTTCGTTCTGAATGGGTACTCAAATCACCTGTGCTCTTGTACTTCATAAACTTTGCAGTCTATTGAAAGCCATGCTTTGATGCATGATTTCACACCATCCTTGCAAAATCAGGGTTAAAGTAAGAAGCCCCTTGTTTGCTTCCACGACCTCTGCAAGAAAGAATCATGGTGCTGGCAAATGCGAAGGACTGACTGCTGATGGTTTGTTGCCCTTTACACCCAAACCGGCAGTTTTTCAACGACTGTATCTATGTATGTATCTATCTATCTATCTAGCAGGCTACCTAGCTTAGCTATCTATCTATGTATCTATGTCTATATATCTATCGATCTATCAGGCAGAACCTTTTGATCATGTATTTGTTCTTTCACGAGAGACGCAAAGACATAGAGCAGAGGTAGATCTCGGTGTTGCACAAACTGAACATTTATCATCATTTATCTCTAATTTTGTTGCCCTCAACAAGCTTCTGCACTAATCATGCTGAAGGTCCAGCACATTTTCTTCGATGGCAACATTGAGAAGGACGTGGCGATGGGGAACAGTACAGCTAACAGGGAGCTTCCCACAGAGGGAAACACCACGTGTTTTTTTCTCGAAGTCCAATTTCTCAAAATTACTCTTGCCTTGCTTTCTGAACAAGTGATTTGTACAGTCAATATATACAAATGTTATCGTATTTCAACTGCTCCAGTCACTAACCAACTGAAGCTTCCATCAGCAACCTCCAAGTATCTCACCTGAGCTCAGTGGGGAGTCACAGCTCTTGATTGAGTGTCTATGAAATGCCCGAGCTATGCATTTGGCTGGATGCTACCACCACATCGTGACATTGACAAAGGTTGAGTGAAAAACGTTAGGTACCCCATGAAAGTGTGCTCAGGAGCTGATCTTCTGGAAGCCACCTGTCCAAGTAACCGGCCACACAAAATGTATCGCAAGACCGTTAACAGCACTTACTCCCTGTCCCGCAAACTCGAACGTCCCCATCGGTGCAGGAGGATGCCAACTGCGTAGATGCCCTGCCGGCGGATTTCGGGTTTCGATTCTTCGCCGAAATCGCATCGTCTTCGAAGCAACACGCCAGGTCCGAGATGCCGTGAAGGGAGAGCCGATCCCTCTGGAGGAGACTTTTTTAGCCCGCTCGCCCCCCTCCCTACTTAATTAGCCTACTTAATTAAGAAAGGGAGAGGTAGCTACTATCTGCAAGTAGCTACTACTTCGGACGCATGATAGCGCTCGCACTAATGATTTGGTTCCTAGATTTTTAGGGAAACTTAAGGTTGGAGGTATGCCAGGTATGCCTGCTTCTGCTCGTTGGTATTGGGCTTCTTTGTTTAGTGTGATGCAAACCTTACAAGCCTTACCCCCCCATTCTTCATGGGTTTTTATAAACAACCAGACACACAGCCTAACTGGCTTTTGGGCGGCGTCGGACACTGTGCCGAAGTTTCGTTGGGGTGTTAAGCAGGGTTTTGACCTACCACAGGCAACACATGATCCTATTCTATCAGAGTTTGGCGACTAACATACATAGGTATCAAACATGCACATACGACCGAGTGAATTGGGGCAGCAACACCAGAATCGGATTACAATTTTAGGCTTTACGACAATTTTATATACCTCAGGCCCACCTCCTTTCTGTGCGGAAAGCCGTGGAGTAGTAGGTACACATCATTACAAGTCAGGCCATGATTGAACGGGACGTTTGCATACGCCCTGTGGTTCTGGAGCTGGCCGTTGCGCACCGCTGTGCACCTGTTGACGCTTCGAAGGAATCCTCGAACATCTACCTGCACCGCGTGGACTTCTTCCAGGCGAGATCAAACCTGTCTAACAGGTGAGCTATGATCTTTAGGGCTAAAGTGGCAAAATGTGGAGGGTTCATGGGTCATAACATGTTAGGTCTTTCTCGTGTCTCTTCGTGTGTGGGTTGGATTGTTGCCAGATGGTCATAGGATTTGCCTTCCAATCTGCAGACGACTGGCAAATATGTGTCGATTTTGCTGGGATCCGATCGTGCGCCGTTGAAGCTCGCGTAGGGACTCACCCATCGGCTACATCAGGTCTTTTGCAAAGGGGCTGCCAGAAATGTTTAGCTCACGCTTGTCATTGCTTTACTTGGCATCCTTGTATCACTAAATGGCAGGGTGAGATCGATTGGCCATGTAGAAAGGACGGATTTTGAAAGGTAGAAGGCCGCAGGATTGACCATAGGATTGGCAGAAGGTTTTTTTTTTCAGGATCGGACTGAAGCGACACCATCGAGTTCGCTCCAGGCGGTCACCGACATAGACTACTTCGTGAAAGCCACAGAGGTGGGGAGACCTCAGCTGGTTCAAAGGAAGATGAAGACCTCAGCGCTTCTGTCTTGTAGGTCGTGGACTACTCATACAGATGAGTCCAGTTATAGATGTCTTTTTCCTTGAATCCCAAGTCTTGCCACTGCAGCAGAGGGCTTCTTTCTTTTTGGCATGAGATTCATCCCGTCTCGTCCGTGTCCCGCCGTCCTCCCATCGGCCCCAATGAGCGGTGCAGGCGTGCGAGTTGAAGAGGTCCATGAAGATCGTTGAGGCTTGGAGCCGTTGGTCTTTCTGCTCATGGCTCATTGGGGGTCTGTTTGGGACCCATCAGACCCCCCCCATCTGTCTGTAGATGGCATTGGTTCCCATGGCCGAAAATCATGAAGGCCTGGACCACCAGGACCTTTGGTCAGAAGGCCTTCTATGGCTGAATCCACGAGAGGAGGTGCTTCTCCACCACCGCTATGTGTTGTTTTTTCTTCAGCCATAGACCATCATAGATTCGCCACGGCCATCCACGGCCCCTCCGAATGAGTACGTCCATCGTCCAGCGTTTCCACCGTTTCGCCAGGATCGACGATCCGAAGGCATCGCACGAGCTCTGTCAGACCAGGACGATGTGGCTTCGTCGATTTCGGTGGCGTTTTCTGGGTGGCACAAAACAGGATCCACTTCTAAGCAATGCGAGGCTTCCTCTTTGAACATGTGTTTCATGTTTGGTTGCTGCTCCTGGGTCGTTTTTTGTGAGGAGAGGAAGCAGGCATCTGAAGAAGCTGCTGCGATGACTCCTAAGGACAGGTGGCAATGATGGCAGGTCGCTTTCCAGGCACATACGCCCCATATGACAGGTCATAAGATCGGGCAGCTTGTGTTTCCACCAAAGCCATGTGTGGCTGGGTTTCTCACCTCTGATTGTGGGCAGACCCCTGTGCTTGCGAAGAGATCACCCGCAAGTTCTAACCATGCGACATGGGACTGGACCCTTTCAGACTGGTCAGGCTTGCGGCTTGATACATTTGTCGAAATTCTTTTGCGGTAACCTGCGAGACAAAGGTAACCGCGCAGCCAGTAGGCCAACGGAATCAGCTTCTGGATCCACAACAGCATTGGAATCTCTGAGTGTGTTCACCCAGCTTGAACTCATTTAGCACCATCGAAACCAGGAGTGGCTCTACCGGAACGTCATCCCAGCGCTCCTTCCCGCCTTGGAGGTTGGAACCACTTGAAGGTTGTCCAGTTGGAGCTCTGAACATGACACTTCCGGGGATGGGTCAAAACCCTGGTTAACCATAGAGAATAGAGTCAGAATGGACTACCAGGCATTGGTCAACCTACCAGTGTCAACCGGCTCCGGGCTGATGGAGTTGCTCAACTGACACCAGACGACGGTTTTTCGGGGCAATTCGTGGACTGCAGGAGATGCAAAGCAAGAAATTGTTTGACATGGGAAAGCAAACGGACTACATGGTACAGCAAAATAGAATAGTGCAGGCACAGTTGGTAGAGGAGCATCAAACCCAGGAGTCCAGGTGCTAGCAGTTGTAACTGCTAGCAGTTGTACTCACCATAATAACTTCTTAAAAGATTGGCTGCTCACTATTCGTCGAAGCAGTTGTACATTGGCCAAAATTGTCTGGAGCACCAGGAAAGAGTAGGAACAAGGACGCTACTAGGAACAAGTGCATCGCTACTAGTAACAAGGGCCTTACTAGTAGTAACAAGAAGCTATTAGAAACAAGAATTAGAACTTAGTCTTCACTGCATTTGGTTCACGCTGGACCGAAAGGTCGGTTCACTGGGAACAGGGTCACAAGGACCGACGATCGGGTCCGCTGCGAGCAAGGCCTGTCAACGTGATCGCCCGGAAGATCCGATCGAGCCCGGTTGGCTCAGTGGGGCCGTGTTTCGTGGCACCGGACCGGATGAACAGTTGGGCCATTGGGGTCAACGGTGGAGCTCCGGGATTGGGATTTGCTATACAAAGCATTACACAAAGAGATAGGACTCCAAACCTATCTGATTTCGTCCTTTGGGGTCATATCACCTGGAACAGATTATCTGGCAAGTAGAAAAACAAGAAACACTTGTGTTGATGGCGTCGCCACTATGTTATGTAACAACAAACATCAGCAATACATAGCCCTACATCTGAGCCTCCACCCTTTGTACCAAGGAATTCGAAAACTTGGTGATCAAGATTTGAGATTGATACGGCGTTATTCACCGTGTGAAGGGTACGCAACAGCCCCACGGAGAGCTTCTGCTTGCCCAGATTCATCGCCTTCTATATGCTTCGACATTCGAAACAGCCTGGGCGCCTGGTGGACGTTTGGCTCAGCTTTGGCACCGGGACAGAGCTTTGCAAGGCAAAGGAACGAAGCGGGCTGAGTCGACTTGGATTGCCTGCATGGCAGCGTATTTGTTGGTCATCGAGCTGCAACTTGAGAGGCTGTTATATAATGTTGTATAGAGAATCTTTGGATCTGAGCTGGGAAGTGAAGTACTTTAGAGTTTAGCCAAGCCATCCAAATTCAGACAACTTTGTGGAGAGTAGAGGTCAGTTTTGCGGCTTCGAGTACGAAACACGCAGTTCTTCCCGTTGGAAGTCGGTTCTCCACCAGATCGCTGAGAACAGGTTGCCAATTTAGCCGAGGAAACCCTTCTTTGTATCCTGTTTTGGAGTGCCTATCAGATAGTCCTGCCCACACTGAGCATGTCCACCTTATTTCCTCTCCGTGATAAAAACATAACATAACCCTTTTCCTCTCAAGACTTGCTCCATGGGAGTTGAGCTTGCGCTGAGGTACTCGAAGACTCTGAAAGCCTGAGGGACATCATGTTTCACCCAGCTCTTCAATGGCAGCAGACATGCCTTGTATGACCAAATCTTTCGGACTTTCCACATGGCATTATGGCCGCTCGGCCACTCTTCGTTGCAACCAAAAAGAGACAACCAAAAGGAGACAACGAAAAAGACGGGATCAGATCAGATCCACCTTTTGTCCTTCAAAATCAGTAGCATTGTGGAGCATCAACATGCATGTTTCTTAGCCTAAGTCTTTAAGCATACTGTATGTCCCTTACATTTTATCCCGAGATGTTTGGAGAAGCTCCCAAATCAAAACACGTTCAGCACGGACGGTTTCACCTGCTGTGCATGTGGAGAAACGGTGTGGATTCAACGTGCTGTTTCGAAGCCACAGGATGAATGCATTTGGGGTAGGTGGAGGCCCAACAAAGAAAGTGAGATCCAATGTGGACAAATCGTAAAGTGAGATTTGTCTAGGAATGAAAGGATCAACTCATGCTGAGAAGAATGATAGGATACCAGCTGGGAATTCAGATGCAAATCGCATGCAGGCTCGTTCGGGTTTTCATCCATTAGTCGATTTTCCAAGAGCCCATGATGCATCGACCTCTAAGGGATGTTAAACAATATACTCTACTAGTAAGGCACTTGTTACTACTAGCTTATTCTACGTATTCTATATTTCTCCCTTTGTGGTGCTTCCAGGCGCTGCCTCCAGTGCCACCGACAGCGCTCTGGTTTGCCTCCAAAGCCGAGGAACTGGAGAGGCGCGGGGCGCCTGGTGGGGTGGACGACCTCGTCGGCTTGAGATGTTTTGCCCTTCAGATTGGTATCACAAGCCCTTTGTTACTAGTAGCTATTTGGTACTAGCAGCGATGCCAAGAGCCACTAGTAGCGTCCTTGCTCCTAGGAGAGATGCCCTTTGTTACTAGTAGCGTTTTGGCCTGAACTTCAATGTCATTGACCGATTGGCATTTACACATTTACTGCAAGACATGTGCAACATAAAGAAGCACCCGCTTGGACTGTTCGTGAAATTCCCACATCAGACACGGTTGGTTTAGCCGCGGATCGAATTAACCCGCCCAATTAGTCTGGCAGACGTGGGACGGTCAATTCTCACGCAAGGCTTCTCGGAGAGAGAACTGAATCTTCGCGCGAAAACCACCCTCGCAGGGTCTTTGTGTGCACACCTTTGTTTCGAGGAACGGGTTGTAATCATTTTGGTCATCAAGAGTCCTTTTCTTTGGCCAGTGTACCAGTGTTCTCGATGGGTGGAATCCGTCCATGGACGCTCAACCTGTGGGTCCTTTGATTCCTCCAGCCTTTGAGGTCTCAAGACATATCACCAAGAAGTTGCTGCCAACATCTGCCAACTGAAAGAACACCCACCCAGCTGACGGCACAACAAAGAGCCTCAAGATCAGAACACTCAGACTCAACAGCGGAACATTTTGTTGGTTGAAATGATTTGAATGAAAGGTTTCCATCCCACTAGACTATATCCCATTGAGTTGGGTCAGCTCCCCCGTTATTGGGAGTCGAACGTCCAAAGCCACAGTTTTACCCCCCAAAACATTCATCCCACCCTGTTGATCTGGCGAAACGCGCGCCATGCTGTCCAAACTGGCGAAGCTTGGTGGGCCATTGGACTGTTCGACGTAAGAGCCCTGTGAAGGGGATGTCCGAAAGAATCAGGCATCACACATGGCCGTGCGATTTGGGTGGAGGCAGCAAGGCATGCGGGACACCAAATGCGATACACGCAGCATGTGAAACGCTTGATGCAGCACCCCAACCGGCATCCAAGGCGGCTCAAGCCCATCACCCAGCTAAGTCCGCTGGCAGCTTGGAGTCACAAAAGTGGATGAACGCCCTTTTGGATGGCTGAAGATCTTCCAAGACGGGATCCCATAACGGGGTAGCCCGCCCCCAAAGGTAAATGACTCCCACAAAAATATCAACTTCTAACCAATTTTAAATATATACGGAGATATACTGTATATTTACTGTATAGCAATTCTCTTTGCTGGGGGCTGAAACACACATGTATGGAAGCCGCCTTACAATGCAGTCCTACTTGAACATAAACAAGATGGAACCCACGAACCCGAATGCAAACACGATCGAAAAACTAATATGTCCAAAGGACACTCTTGTAGGACACTCTTGCGGGACACTCTGTAGGACACTCTTGTGGGCCACTCTTGTAGGAAACTCTTGTGGGACACTCTTGTAGGACACTCTTGTGGGACACTCTTATAGGACACTCTTGTGGGACACTCTTGTGGGACACTCTTGTGGGACACT